CTGGTGCCTGTCGTGGCGGCAACCCCAAAACCCGCTGGTGGACACCGGCGGTGAGGGAAGCCGTCAGGCTGAAGGAGGAGACCTTTCAGGCCTGGTGGGCTCGGGGGTCTCCTGAAGCAGCAGGCAGGTACCGGCTGGCCAAAGGGCTGCAGCTGCTGCGGTCATGGAAGCTAAAACTCGGGTGTGGGAGGAGTTCGGGGAGGCTATGGAGAAGGACTTTCGGTCGGCCCCGAGGAAGTTCTGGCAAAACATCCGACGCCTCAAAAAGGGGAGGCAGGGATTCGCCCAGGCTGTGTACAGTCGGGGAGGAGAACTGCTGACCTAGACTGAGGATCTTGTCGAGCGGTAGAAGGAGCACTTCGAGGAACTCCTGAACCCGGTAAACACGTCCTCTGCTGAGAGGGCAGAGCCTGAAGACTTGGGGGCTTCTGCATCCATATCTGTGGTAGAGGTCACCGAGGTAGTTAAGAAGCTCCTCGGTGGCAAAGCGCCAGGTGTGGACGAGATTCGCCCTGAGATGCTGAAGGCTCTGGACATTGTCGGACTGTCATGGCTGACACGTCTCTTCAATGTCGCGTGGGCATCCAGTACAGTGCCTGTGGAGTGGCAGACCGGGGTGGTGATTCCCATTTTCAGAAAGGGGGACCAGAGAGTGTGTGCCAACTTCCATCAGACCGTGACCTTCAGCATGCACTGGACCGGTTTGTAGACGAGTGCGAAGCGGTGGGGATGCGGATCAGTACCTCCAAGTCTGAGGCCATGGTCCTCTGCTGGAAACCAGTGGCTTTCCACCTCTGGTTGTGGGAGGGAGTTGTTTCCCCAGGCGAGGGAGTTTAAGTATCTCAGGATGCTGTTCACGAGTGACGGGAAAGTGGAGCACGAGGTGGACAGGCGGCTACGGTTCTATACTGTGTCACCTGCTAAACTGAAATGAAGACTCGAATATTTTACTCCAGACTAGTAACTTTTTCACCAAGAACTGAATTGTTATTATTATAAATAAAAGTTGTGTTCAGGCTCCGCTGGTGTCACTGANTGCAGCAGCCAATCACAGGCCGCCTGCAGACACATGCAGCAGCCAATCACAGGCCGTCTGCAGACACATGCAGCAGCCAATCACAGGCCGTCTGCAGACACATGCAGCAGCCAATCACAGGCCGTCTGCAACAGTCAATCAGAAGCTGAGCTGGAGTTCAGTCGGTTGTTTTCTTGCTCTGAGGAGACGTGTTCATGGAGGAGCAAAGTACACACACACACACACACACACACACACACACACACACACCTGTGCTGTCTATCTCTGTGAGGACCAGACACTACCCCCGTCTGAAGGACGCAGCTTCAGGACATCAGCAGCTCTGAGGTTCAACAAACGTTTCTGGAACGTTAATTCAAGAACCGATCAGCTGTTTGGTTCTGAAACGTCACAAAAAGTGGGTCAGAGTTTCCTCAAACGTCCTGTTTAGTCCAGAGATGTTCAGTTTAGTGTCACAGAGGAAAGAACCCAGAGAAGCTTCAGAGTGAAGGAGCTGGACCCAGAGTTCTGACCTTAAGCAAACTGATTATTGATTATCAGATGAGCTGATGATTGATGAAAGCTGAGCTGCTGCTGGCTGGAGGAGCACATGAAGGCTCCATGCTGTTGGGGGAGGAGACGCTGGGACACAGTTCTGATAATCAGTGTGAGTCAGGAGAACAAACTCCATGCTGAGCAGCACAGAGTCCTGCTAGAGGTCAGCATCACATTTATCAATACTTCTGATCAGTGAACCATCAGTTTGACTCAGTCTGAACTCTGGCTTCAGCTCCTCCGGTGAAGCTTCTCTGGTTCTTTCCTCTGACAGCAAACCGAACCTCTCTGGGCTGAACCGGACATCTGAGGAAACTCTGATCCACGTTTTCACCGCTTTCTGCTATTTTAGAGGCAAACAGCTGATTATTGATCCGCAGTTTAAGCACTGATCAGTTTGAACGGATCGGTTTAGGGTCAGTCCAACAGTCCGCAGCCACATGTTGCAGCAGCTGTAACCTCCTGTGTGCTGAAAGCCCGCTTATCGATCTGAGCTGATGAGCACACATTGATGTGATCAGTCCGATCAGCTGCTGCTGCCTGAAGCTCTGAGTCACAGTTTGTTCTGTTCGCTTCTGTTCCGGCTCACTTGGACCTCTCCTGGACACCTGGACCCGCACCGACCCCCAACACCGGCACCTAACCGACCCACACACACAACTCACCGATCAGGATGGACAGGATGAGCCGGACCGCCGGTTCCGGAGAGCCCAAAGACTCCGACACTGTCTCCAGCAAGGGAGCCGCCATCTTTACTGTGGGCGGAACAGAGCGCAGCGACGCTTAGTGGCGTCGCACGCACTCACGCGCGCGCGCGCGCCCTCTGAACCGTCCTGTTATTGATTACTGATCAGTGACAGGTGTGGCTCAGAGCGGACAGGTGCAGACTCACCTGGTCTTCTCTGAGACATGAACAGAAACAACAGAAGGAGTTTAAACAGGTGATACTCAGCGGTGTCAGTCCGCCCCCATGTGGCCGCAACCTGCAACTACAGCAACGACTCATCCGCTGATTATTCACATTTATTATTATTATTATTATTATAATTATTATTATTATTATTATTATTATTATCACATTTAGCAGTGGCAGTATTAACGATAATAATAATAATAATAATAATAATAATAATAATAATAATAATAATAATAATAAGTTTCTCTGATTCCAGTATAAAACATGAAGCTTTATAAACAGCCAATCAGCTGCTCTGGTTCATTTGTTTAATAAATAACATTGACCTTAGCTGATCAATAGCTGATCAACAGTGTGAAGCTGTGGCTTGGTTCGTCTTTCAGTGTTGTTTTTATTAGTCAGGACAGTGAGACAGGAAAGGGGCAAACTGTCGTGAGCGGGAGTCGAACTCACGAACCCCTGCTCCTGGGCCACCTGCTCAGTCAGGTGAGCTGTAGGGACGCCCTCAGTGTTTTTTTTGAATCCAGCAGAACAGAAACATCAGAAACAGTAAGTTTTTCTCTTTCTATGAAACAAACATGTTTGTTAACTCGAGTTTTTAGACATGAAGTCATGAATTTCTGAGTGTCAGGTAGACATGAAGGACTTCTGCTTCCTGGGAGTCCAAACTGAAGAGAAACTGACCTGGAATAAGAACAACAGCTGGTAAAGAAGGCACAACAAAGACGTCCTGAGAATCCTCAGGAAGACCACCAGCCCCAGACTGCTGGTCTTTGTACCGCTCCACCATGGACAGCATCCTCACCTTCTGTCTCTGGACGTGGTTCACCAGCTGCACCGCAGGAAGACCTCCAGAAGGTCACTGGGTGGCCTCTACCCACACTGGAGGACCTTCATGGCTCCCTCTGCCTCAGGAGAGCCGACACCATCCTGAAGGACCCCTACCAGCCGGGCCACTTCCTGTTGGAGCTGCTGCTGTGGGGCAGACGGTACCGGTCCATCAGCAATCAACAATATGTCCAAAAAAACCTCAAAAGCAAAGAGAGCTGCTGCAAATTGCTGCCATCTAGCGGCGCATTCCAGAATGTAGGATTTAGAACTTCATATATAGAAATTAAATATTTAGTTTTTACAGATTTCGGTGTTTTTTCTGTGTGTGTGTCTTTATGTTGTGTAGAGTTGTTCATAAAGTCTTCCTGTTGGCTGGACAACAAAACATCAGAATCTGATGAGAAACACAAACGCTGCTGCCGCGTCCTCTGTGTTCTGACCCGAACACGGCCCGGTGTCTGGCTGAGCTGTGAGAATGGATCAGCTCTGATCAGAACCACATGTCGGTCACATCAATGTGCTGTTCAGGATCAGGTTCAGATCCTGCTGAACCGAGCCAGAACCAGAGAACCATCATATGTTTGTGTTCCTTCAGCTGTGCTGCAGGTAAATAAATCACATGAACACAGTCCAGCTGCATCTTCTAGTGGACTAACAGCCCAGTGCACTCGAACTGGACCTGTGTGATTGAAGTCAGTGGTTCGGTTCTGCAGTACATCAGGTTCTTGGTTTCCTTCAACACTTCGTGGGCTTCTCATTATGAGAAACCTGCTGGACAAATATCTAAAAGAGCAAATAATCCTGCCCTGTGATTGGTGGCTTCCAGCCTTAGTGCGTCTGATCCAGAACCTTTGGTCACGGTGTCGGAACACAACAACAGACACGTCGGTGGAAACAACAGCAACACACACTAACACACACTAACACACAGTAACACACACAAGACAGGATTCATATCCGACTCATATCAGCTCAAACACCTTCAAACGGCAGCAGAACGGCCGCAGTGCATGACGGGTATGCAAATCCAAAGAACTGCTCTGCTTGTTGTCCAATCAGAGCGTTTCATACTCCGCCGTCCTGAGGGGCGGGGCTTGTGTAGGTTGAGCCAATCAGACGGCAGATGGTCACGTGTTTCGCTCCTGGTTTCCTCAGATTGTCTCAGTTCGACTGAAGTTCTGTGTTTCTGTCCGGTCCATGTCGAGCTGCTGAATATGTGATTTATTTTATCATTTACATTCTAAAATCTGCTAAATCACCTCCTCGGGTTCCTGATTTTCTCAAAGAGCTGAGTTCTGCTGAAATCTGCCGGTTTGTGAAGCAGCAGCAGAGCGTCGGTCTGGTCATTGACAGGACGGTTCACCAACACACAGCTTCAATAAGTCACCTAAAAGATCAGTTACTAAGAAAGTCCTACATCCTCTGTCTGTATTTCAGTGTTTTATCATAGAAATGCTGCTCATGTCTGTAGATTAGACGACAAATCAGAAGCAATAAACATCAGGTATGAAGTCTTCATTTACAAAACAGAAAATCAAAGATCATTCAGTTCAATTCAGTTTTATTTGTATAGCGCATATTTACAACAACAGTCATCTCATAGAGCTTCACAAAGTCAGAGACACCCAACAATCCAAACATCTGGATTCTCTATAAGCTTCAGCAGTCTGCTGGTGGGACGGAACCGAAAACCTCCGACAGAACCAGGCTCAGGGAGGGACGGCCATCTGCCTCCACCGGCTGGGTGGATGTAGGATGAAGATAAGAAACCTGGATAACAACAAACATATAAAAAAAACAACGTTAGTAAAAATCATTTTAAAAAAAGTAACGCCTGGAAAATATAAAAGCAAATGAATCAACTAAAACCAGGACAAGTGGAGGTAAAATAGGATGAAATAAAAATATGACGGATAAATATCAGAGGTTTGAACAGACTGAAGGTCAAAGGCGTCTCATTAAACATTCGTCAGGCTGTGAAGGACGACAGAACAAAGCTCTCAGTAAAAAACCTCCGAACACACACATACGACTGAAACCTTCATGGACGAGGAGACGTAAAGATCAGAGTTGGAGTAAAAAAATAGTAGATTTTTTTGTAAAACTTTAAACTTTAGAAATACAAAGACTGTTTGGGAGATTGTTCCTGTTGGTTTGGAAGAATTACTGGAAATATTGGTTTTAGTTTAAACAGAAGCAAACAGAACACGGTGGACTCAGAACCCTCCACCGACGCTGCTCAGATTTTATTTGTCAGTCAGACTATGAAGAGTTTTCCAGGTGCAGCGTTCACAGATGAAGCTTCATGAAGAAGTCCAAGGAGTTCCTCACTGAGGAACATGTCAAAGGGCTGCAGGAGGACAGACGTGATCCCTGCACTGGACCAATGGTGGAGGCCCAGAAGAACCCAAGGACCAGCACCAAGAGCATCCTGATGGATGTGAGCAGTTCTG